TTTGGCCCAGAAGCGGCTTCTGCAGAAGATCAGAAGGCAGGATGAGCCTGAGGTCAGAGGATTGTCCTCCCAGCATCCTCCCTTCCTCCCCTGCCACTGTGGGTTGACTGTGACTGTCTACCTGCGGCTACAGCTCTCCCCTACAGCTGCGCTCTCTGGATTCCAGGAAGCTTTGCCCTGCCCTCCCTCCTTCCTTCACATCTAGGGGCAATGCCAGCTCCTATTGTTGCTAGCTCCAGGGTACACCAGTAGCCTTTTATTGGGTTTCCTGAACCTTGCTCACAACTTTATAAATAGTACCTTTATTAAGCTTTCCTCGGATTCTTGTGCTCTTGACTCACACTGGAACCTAGGACATCTAATGTAGTAAAAACAGCAGAACACTTTTTTTTTTTTTAAATCACAGTTTTTCACTCATATTTTCCCCAGTGAAATGTTAAATCCTTGAGGACAGAAACTATCCTATTCATGTTTCTATTCTCGTAAGATAAGGTAAGTAGGGTTTGCTACCATTGTATTAATGTTATATGTAATGATGCCACCTGAGTCCTTAAGAATTGTTTAAATTATGTTTGATAGGAAAATTTATCAAAACTAGGGTGTGTGTGTGCCCATCTTAGTGCTTGTAGGTAATAAGTTTCACTTTGTTGGATAATTCTGTTCCCTGGGACCAAAGAGAGACTTTTAAGAAAGAGTTGGGTAGGGATGCCTGGGTGGCTCAGTTGTTAAGCGTCTGCCTTCGGCTCAGGTCATGATCCCAGGGTCCTGGGATCAAGCCCCATATCAGGCTCCCTGCTCCGCGGGAAGCCTGCTTCTCCCTCTCCCACTCCCCCTGCTTGTGTTCCCTCTCTCGCTGTGTCTCTCTCTGTCAAATAAATAAATAAAATCTTAAAAAAAAAAAAAGTTTATAAAAAAAAAAGAGTTGGGTACAGCTTTATTACTCGTTTTTCCCATGGAGACTCCTAGACAATGGTTTCCTGATTTTACCAATTCCAATTGTTTAAGAACTAGAAAGACACTGTATACTAAAAACATAAATTTTTAACAAATAAAGATGATGCCAGTATCCTTTTTTCCCCGCAACTTAAAAGGTGGTTGTAATTTATTAAGGTTACCAGCTAAGTTACTAACTTATATTTGTATAACATTTTAAAGGTGATTATATTTGGTTAGATACATTCTCAAGATCATCAGTGTGATTGTTTTCCTACCAATTTTTGGTTTTATTTTTGCATTTTGTTATTGATGTTTTCTTTTGATCTAAAGAATATTTTATCTTTAATCTTCACATGTTTAATTATACTTCTATTGTTTTGTGACTTGTTCTTTTCTTTTTTTTTTTTTTTCTTTTTGACCTTGACTTCTTTCTTGCTATTTCCTTGGAACCTTAAACACAGGCTGTGTGGCCTTGAGGTGGAGTTTTAATAAAAGCTTTGCTGAGTAGTCATTTGGTATAAAATCCCAACCAAATCCATTAATAGAAAAAAGAAAGCAATATCTTTTCAAGGTTAACTTTCTTTGTGGTTGTTCCCACGAATAACACACACTCATTACATTCATTTAAGTATTATTGCCTGCCTATTATAATTTAAGGTCCATATTTCTGATAAGGACAACCAAAAAATCCCTAAGTTTAAGAGCAGATTATCAAGGAATTTATTCATTAGAGACAAATTCCTATACCATGGAATTTTGCTTGTATAAAATCGCTGTTAATACTCCAGGAAAATGTCCAGGAATACCCTCTTAATTGGATAGTTGGTTGTGTTTTAACTAAAATGACAATGGCATAGCTGCCTTCTTTTTCTTCTTTTTAAATTTTTGACATTACTAAATAGTCTCACAACCTAACTAAATATACGGGGGTTTTTAAAGAGATAAACGTGGGGCGCCTGGGTGGCTCAGTCGGTTAAGCATCTGCCTTCGGCTTAGGTCATGATCCCAGGGTCCTGGGAATCCCTGTTCAGCAGGGAGCCTGCTTTTCCCTTTGCCCCTCCCCCTGCGTGTGCAACACGCATCCTCTGTCTGTCAAATAAATAAATAAAATCTTTTTAAAAAAATAAAGAGGTAAACATCACATTCTTTAAAGCACTTTTATTTTGTGGGGTTTAAAATTAATTTAATAATTTCATTTGGAAACTGAATAAGCCCTTAAAATCTGTGGGACTTGTAGCCGCTCTCATTCATTGGAGAACTAGTCATCAGGGTATCACCAGTAACTATGTATACAGTCCCCATTACCTCTCTTCTACTCTAACCAGTAAATTACCACTACTTGTGAAGTTGTTATCCATTTGGAAACTCACAATCATAACAGTGGTAGGAAATAGTGAAATAATGAAAAGTAACAAGCACTGACTTGAATAATTTTACCTTTCTGAAAGTTTCCTAAACTTTTATGAGACAGACAACCGAACTTAAACCTCCGCTTTCCTGGGAAAGATGATAGTCTCCCTGAAATCCCTGTGTTGAGAACAAGGAGAGGGATGAGGGCTGACAAGAGGGGTCTGAAGGCCACCCCTTCCTTGTTCATTGAGAAGCTGTGTCCTTCGCATCAGGGAAGACTGCCTCCTCCGGCCATCTCTTAGCTCACTGGCCTTGTGCACCTTAATTTATTTTGGCCCTCAAGATAGCAAGAGGTTTACCGTATTATTTGTTTTCAAGCTCTGCCAGGGAGCACTCGGGTTTCTTGGCGTCTCCTCCAGAGTCCCTCCGTGGGTGGTATGGGAGGCCCAGTGGGAGCGCTTTTGTCTTGTGATTGTTTCTTAGTTTTCTCCGTAAAGGGTTGTATAGTTTTCAAAAATGTGATCACCTCTAAGATCCCTTCTAGCTGTGGAAAAGCTCATTATTCTATTTGTAGTCTTTTTTTCTTCATTTCTTTTCTGGGAGCGGGAGGCTTTTAGTCAATCGGGGTGAAAGCTAACCCTCTGAATACAGTTGAGAGGGAAAAGTGCTGAGTTCATGTTTGGATCGGGAAGGTCTGGGTGAATCAACTCATGTAAGAGTATCACTTTCCTTAAAAAGGGAGGGGGGAATATACATAGGATGTGAGCCCTAGAAGAAAATCCCCAAATTTGGACAAAAGTTTGGAATTGGCAGCAGTGAGCTATTTAAGAGAACTCATGAAAAGTTAAAAAAAAAAAAAAAAACTTACTAAAGAGTACATTTGGGCTGTTTTGTTCTTTTTTAATTTGAGATGATCATTGTAAATCAGTTCCCTTGTATTTCACATATAGATAATATACCCTATTACTTGCTTTGGGCAAACTTTTTTAAGCTTTCAGGAGTCTATAAATTAGAGTAAATTGGTATTATTGCTATTTCATGATACATTGCTTCAAAAGTTATTCATGGCTATTTTGAAATGAATTGTCCATGTAAAGAGAAAACCATAAAAGCCACTTAAATTATAGTTTCTATTGTCTATGGAATACCCAAACAAGTTTCTATATTAAAACTAAATAGGTCAATTTTCTAGCTATTTATAGAGACCTAATTTTTTTTTTTGTCTTATTGGGATGAGAACAAGCGAAGTAGCAGTTATTCTTGGATCTCACATTTAGCAAATCCTCACATATTCTGTCTCTACATAGTATAATTGATTAATAGCACCAAATCCAGGGTCAGGCAGCCTGGATTACAAATTCTGGCTATGTGACCTTGAGCAAGTCATTTTACCTCTCTGTCACTATTTCCTTATCTATAGTAGAAATAATTATGTTTCTTTCCTTGTAGTATTGTTGTGGAGAGTAAATGATTTAATAGGTGATGCACTTGGTACAATCCCTAACCTATAGTTGGCATAGTTTGTATATTAACCATTATTATAATATTGAGCAAGATCAGAGATTTTAATCCTTAATGAAAATCCAACCTGTGATGAAGAGAGTCTACATGCTCAGGTAAGTAGAAAGGTATAGTTGGGGAAATGAGTTCAAGAAAAAATCTGGCAGCTTTCTATGAAAAGAATTGATACAAAGAGACACTGGAGTCTCAGGGACCAGTTAGGATGCTATATTCCAGGCAAGAGGTAAAAATGTCCTGAACTGTCTCAGTCCATTCAGACTTCTGTAACAAAAGTACCGTAGACTGGGTGGCTTATAAACAACAGAAATTTATTTCTCATTGTTCTGGAGGCTAGAAGTCCAAGATGAAGGCAAGTCTGGTGTCTGGTGAGACCCACTTCTTGGTTCATAGATGGCTATTTTCTCTGTGCTCCCATATGGTGGAAGGGATGAGAGATCTCTTTGGAGGCCCTTTTAGAAGAACACTAACCCCATTTATGAGTTAAAAGCTCCACCCTCGTGACCTCATCACCTCCCAAAGGCCCCACTTCCTAGTACACATTTGGGGTTAGGATTTCAACATACAAATTTGAGGGGGAGTACACAAACATTCACTCAATTGCAGTGACCACTGTGGTGTTGATAGAAGAAGGAAATGATGTGTGAGAGGTTACAGGTGTACAAGGAGCTTCAGGGGGAAAGAATACACTAACCGACTTTCAAACTGGGGCACCAGCCTTACGGATATAACGTACACAGGGTTGTTCTTTGGTTCCTGAACAGTTTCTATATACTGAGAATTAAGGAATGCAAAATTTAAAAGACTAATAAAGATTAAATGCGATCATATCATTATGCATTATTACATAATTAATAGCTAATCGTCATCATAAAGAACCATGTAGGTAAGAATAAGATCTTTTAAAGAACTTTCCTCCACTTAAGAAAAATATATCCTATTGTTCTGATTCTTTCATTCAGATCCCTACATTATATTGTGTCAGGATAGAGATTTGTTATTCTTAGATTCTCGTCTTATATCCCAAGACTGTTGATGTAGTGATGGGAAGAACGCAGACATAAACCTGTTGAGAATTAAACCATCACCTTCTGCATTTGATCCAGCATGCTGTATATCTAAAAATATATATGTAATTATTCAGAGTTGCAAATAATGTTAGTCTGTTATTTCATAAGCATTTTTATTATTTCCAGGTCCGATGGATGATGTACTGGATTGTTTTTGCTCTCTATACTGTGATTGAAACAGTAACAGATCAAACAGTCGCTTGGTAAGTTCTATCACTGAGAAAGGGCCAGACTATAGACTCCTTATCAGGTGCCCTGAGTTCTTACCCTGCTCTTGCTGGTAACCAAGTGAATTTGATCAAGTTACCTAATTTCCAGTGTTTCATTTTCTTCATCTGGTTTCCCTGTAAGAACATTACTTTCCTTACAGGTCCCACTCAGATAAAGGCAGCTCATTCTTCTCCCCGGGTGTCGCTCCCTGCCTTCCTCCCACACAGGTCCCAGTATCTTGGAATAGAAAAACTTGGTAGTCATTATCCTTTTTCCACACGATGACTTCAGGCTATTTTTCTTTATCACTTCCTAAATGACTCCCCCTCTGAAGCCCACAGCATCTGGTTCTAGCACTCCCTCCCCATCCTTAAAACTCTCAACTACAAACATTCAGACCAGATGACGTCAGCATCCACGTGGACACCCACTCACCACCAGCTCCTTGGCTGCTCTGTTCCAAATAGCTGAGACAAAATTAAAACATGTTTATATCCTCAAGGATTTAACATTTTACCAAGAAGTAATACCAAATGGAACAACTTGAATCTCCTTGTGCCATATTTCACTGGTGCATTTCCATCTAGACCTTACCATCACTTGGAGAAGTCCTTCTTTTAAAATCTTTAAGCTTGGGGCACCTGGGTGGCTCAGCTGGTTAATCTACTGCCTTCGGCTCAGGTCATGATCCTGGAGTCCCAGGATTGAGCCCCACATCGGGCTCCCTGCTCAGCAGGGAGTCTGCTTCTCCCTCTGACCTCTTGTGTTCTCTCTCTCATTCTCTCTCTCTCTCAAATAAATAAATAAAATCTTTAAAAAAATAAAATAAATAAAATCTTTAAACTTAATACTTTGCTTCTTTACCTGGGCTCCCAAAGGCAGCCCCCCAGAACATCAGTCAGTTGCTTATATAGGTATCAATTTGAACCTCCCCATTCCCTTTACTTGCTGCCTCCATGCCCTCCTGCATCTGTTTCAGACACTTGCTGTTCTCTCTTTAAACTGTCTTTCTGGCTTTGCTCTTCTCATCATACTCTCACAGTACATTAGGTCATGTTGGATTGCTAGAAAAAATAGAGAAGTCATCAGACTTAAATGTTCTTAACACTTGCCCTCATTTATGAACTTCTGTGTCTGCACCCATCTTTCTCTTCTGATTTGAAACAAAACTTGTCCTTGCTGTATCCCAAAGCTCATTCATTTTCCTGTTAAGTGTTTGGTGTAGAGTTTTGGGGAAGGGTTTTTTATTTGGTTTTAAGGGGCAGAACATATTTCAAACTATGCTAGGTCTCTTTTAAGTTTCAAGGTTCTCTCTTTTTTTTTTTATTTATTTGACAGAGAGAGACATAGCAAGAGCAGGAACACAAGCAGGGGGAGTAGGAGAGGGAGAAGCAGGCCTCCCGCAGAGCAGGGAGCCCAATGTGGAACTCGATCCCAGGATCCCGGGATCATGACCCGAGCCGAAGGCAGACGCTTAACAACTGAGCCACCCAGGCGCCCTCAAGGTTCTCTTTTTAAAGACCTCATTTTTTCCTGATCGCAGATGTAGCATATATACATTATTAAAAAACAAATAATGTAGAAAAAGTTTACCAGGAACAGTGGAAGTCCAGAAACTCCTCTGTAATTGCACCAGGCAAAGACCCTTTGTTGACTCCACAGCAGTCATTCCTTATCGCCCTGTACCCCTCTGCCTCATCAGGAGAGCCCAGATTTGTTCACATATCACGTATCTTAATAATTCCTGGCTCAAGAATGCTAGTCCCCTACTGTATATTAGTTCGCTTTTGCTGTGGCAATAGACAACCCTTTTAACCACAGTGAGTTAGAAAAACAAACACATATTTCTTGCTCAGGTTATTTAAGGGGAAAGGTTGGCTGCAGCTTTGCCGGGCTCAGCTCAGTTTTAAGTGTCTTCTCATTTCAGGACCAAGACTGAAGAAGCAGCTGTTCTCATGGCAGAAAGTAAAAATTTAAAGCAAGAGGTTGGGGGTGTCGGGGTGAGGAAGTCAAGGGGCATTTAAAGCTTCTACGTGCATGGGGTATGTCAGACTCACGTGATGTTGGCCAAAGCAAGTCACATGTCTACACCCGCAGTCATTGCTCAAGGAAGTGTACTCAGCCTACAGGGAGAGAGAGCACTGCAGAGTCACATGGAAAGGGGTGTGCGTGGGTGGATAACGCTCATTCCCAGTCTACCACATGGGAATTCCATTCCCCTTACAAGTGAATCATTGTCTGCCCAGCATCGCATTTCCGGCCAAATGAGATTGGAAGGGAAGTTCTTGGGGGGCTTCTGAGAAAGAGGAGATGTGTTCATGGGGTAACTTTGTGCCCTTGGAGCATGTAAAGCTGAGTCCTGGTGCCTGGAGAGATGTCAGGTACTGACATGCGGAAGGGTCGGGGGTGCCCCTCACCTCCCTGGGTACGTGCTATTAATGTTCTCTCCGGACGGCTACCGTCCGTTGGCAGCTTGCCTGTGGTCTCTTCAACAGAAGAATCTTGTACTAGAAGTTGCTGAATCTCTGTAGGAATCAGGTTCCTCTTTGCTTAGAACTCATCTGTAGTGAATGAAATTAAGTCAATTCAAAGATAGTTCTTTTGTTAATCACTCACTCTTACATGTGAAAACTTGGGTGATTGAACTTTCTTAAAAGCTTGTGTGCATGCGTGCATGCATGCCAGTGTGTGTGTGCACACGCACACGTGTGTGAGATTTCCTCCTTGTACTTTAGTTTCACCCGCAGTTTTTTCAAATTTGTTCTTGTTAGGTTCCCCCTGTACTATGAGCTTAAGATTGCCTTTGTCGTGTGGCTGCTCTCTCCCTATACCAAAGGAGCAAGTTTAATATATAGAAAATTCCTTCATCCACTTCTTTCTTCCAAGGAAAGGGTAAGATATATAAATTATTTCTATAAATCGCTTGTTAGAAATGTACATCATCACATGGTTTGCGCTATAAAACGAGTGAAACTATCATTTCATGGGGGAAGGTCATCGTTTTGGTTTCTTGACACTACCTGTGAGTCTGTCTGTCTCTCCCCAGGAGATTGATGACTATATTGTCCAAGCCAAGGAGCGGGGCTACGAGACCGTGGTCAGCTTCGGCCGGCAAGGGCTGGCTTTCGCAGCCACTGCTGCAGTCACTGCAGCAGTGAAGGTAACTGTGCAGTTCTGTGTTTTACCCAGTGTCACATTAAAGCCAAGGGACAAAGTCAGGTGGCTTTATATTCCGGATCATTATAAAATTTTGGCAGAATTTTGCTTTTGGCTTATTTTTGTAATGCTGGAAAGAACAAGGGGATAATTTAAAAAACATTTTAACGCATGTTTTTTGTAACGACTCAGTATTTTGAAAGTCTTAATTGATCACAAAATGAGAGCTAGTTAATATAGAAAGACATACCTGAAGATGTCATTTTGTCATAATTTTCCTACTTTATAACCTTAAAGTAAGGTTGAGTAAATCACCTTTAGTAAAGATGACCCATTCTTTCTTTCCCCGTCTCTGGTGTTTCTCTCTCTCTCCCTCTCTCTCTCTTTCTCTCTCGATGGCAATATCTTGGTAGGATTTCTGGCTTACTCCTGCACCCCTACTTCGACCAATTTGAGGTAACTGATTATTCAAAATAAGGCATGAAAAAATTCTGTTCTTAAAACTTGAGATTTTACTTAGCCAGTTACTAATGTCATGTGTTGTGTTTTGCAAGTGAAGTGTATGCCTTCTGTGAAAACTCACATTATGGCTTTTGGATTTCTTTGCATGTAGTATTTAATGTGGTTTATTTTAAATACCGTAGCATAAATGATTTTGGTGTGTAGTATATGGAAAGAAAACAGGCTTCAGATCCAGAAAATGCTGAGTGTGACTTTCTAAATAACTGTTGGTGATTTACTTAACCTCTGTGTTCCCCGGTTGCTTCTTGTATAACATGGGAGAATATTCCTGTCTGTGAGAGGATATACAAAAGCACAGTGGTTGCCAAAATATAGTAGGACTCCAATGAACATTAATATACATGTCTCTCCCTCTCTCTCTCAAGTGAAAGTTTGAGTTTGTTGCTATTAAGTTAAATTGAGATTAAATAGCATTCCAGCTTTTGAGTTAAGCTTTTTCAGCTTGGTTATCTTGAACCAAAATACCAATGCCATGGGAATAAATATTCTAATTAAGTGGTGATTCTATATAATAGTAATGGTGAAGGGATGTCAAATGTTAAATGGGATTTCCAGAATGATCCTTAATTTTTCAGAGTGATCTTTGGCTCAAGTACAGTTAATATGATCAACAAAATTAAAAATCAAAATTATATTCAAATTATATACCCAGAAGTGTTGCATTAAGAATTAAGTGGAAACTTACTAACTGTGCAGCCCTAGCCATGTAAAACAACTGTATTATTAATGATTATTAACTATCAGCACTGTAGTGAAGTATAGTTTGCCTGTTACTTGGCTTTGAAAGGCTTTCTTTTATTACTATAGATATAAACAAATACTAAATAGTAAAATTTTCATCTTATTGAAGGACTGTTTTCCATTTTTAAAAAAGTTGATTTGCTTTTTATTTCTTGCTTAATGAAAATACATGCCTGATTTCCACATGTACTATAAAAGAGCATCCAAGAGATCTAATATTCAACAAGTAGGAATTCTACAAGAGACCACAGATGGCAGTTATCAAAAAAATAATACAATTATATTTCCCAAAACTGAAGGACATGAGTCTCTAGATTGAAAAGGCCCACTAAGTACCCAGCACAATGAATGAAAAAAAAAAGACCGACTGTGAGCAAGGTCATTGGAATATTCCAAAACACGAGAAAGAAGGAAAAAAATTTTAAGGATTCCAAAGATAAAAAGTACGTCACATTCAGATGATCAAGAATCAGAATGGCAATTAAATTTCTAAATAGTGACAATGGAAGCTTGAAGACCAAAGAATAATACCATCCATGAAAACAATCATTTTCACCCTCAGATTCTTTAAAGAGTCAAGCTGTCAGTCATGTGTGAGCTTAGAATAAATCTTTTTTTTTTTTTTTTGAGGCATGCAAAGTCACAAAATTGACCTCCTCTGTGTTCTTTTTCAGGGTAGATGTGCTCTGCCAAATTAGGGACTAGTCCATGAAAAAGGAAACCCACAGGATCTAGGAGACAGGGGGTCCAACACAGAAGGAAGGTGACAGGACTTCTTCCCAGGATGAACGTGCAAACGTGCAAGTCCAGAGTGCACCAGGCCAAAATGGGATGTGATGGGTGCAGGGTGCCAGGACAGGGATCTCAGGGAAAAGCACGGGGAGGAGACCATCTAATAGGTTTAATCTGACGCAGGGATGATACTTAAACTAGTCAGTACATGCTCTGACCAGTCAGAAGACACACTACACACCATGAAAAATGTGCTGGAGGCAATGTTGAGACAGAAGGCAAAGGACAACTAATCAAATGAATACTTTAAAAATGGGGTAATTGTTAGCTCTGGAAAATAAAGTTATATAAGAAAGGAAATATAATAATGGAGCATGACTTGGCCCAGCAGCAAACAGCATGTACATCATAATCCTGAGAATACAGACTGTAGATTGAACAACTGTGATTTTGCTCTATCAGGAAAGTGGGGGAAGGAAAGAAGGAGTTGAAAGAGAGAAAATCCTCACCTGCCAGACAGGAAAGTAGAGGGTTTAATGGTGCCTGCAGGAGGGTGGACAGGAGAACAAGAAAGCTTATTGCTTTCTTTTGTTATAAAATTTAACTTTATTTGACTTCACAAATGAAGTGCAGTTGACCCTTGAACAATCAAGGGTTTCAACTTGTTGGATCCAATTAGATACCGATTTTCTTTCAATAAATACAGTACAGTACTGGATATATGTTATTTTCTCTTCCCTAAGATTTTCTCAGTAACATTTTCTTTAGCTTACTTTATTATAAGAGGACAGCATACAATACATATGACATACAAAGTACATGTTAATCAAGTGTTATCAGTGCAGCTTCCAGTCACCAGTAGGCATATTAGTTAAATCTCAAGGGAGTCAAAACTTAGACACAGATTGTTTACTGCCTGGTGAGTTGATGCCCTAACCCCCACGTTGTTCAGGGGTCAACTGGTACAGGTCTTATACCCCCCAAGAGGATGCTTTCTGAATTTTACATATTTAAAAGCATCATTCAATATGATTCTATGGCATAAAAACTAAAAATTAAATTTCAGCTTGAAACATTGCTTAGAAAATATGGACATTTTAGAACATTGTTCTGGGAAACAGAAAAGCATACAAATCCTGTTTTTCCTCCTCGCTTTTTTTTTTTTAAGATTTTATTTATTTGACAGAGAGACAGCGAGAGAGGAAACACAAGCAGGGGGAGTGGGAGAGGGAGAGGGAGAAGCAGGCTTCCCACTGAGCAGGGAGCCCAACATGGGGCTCGATCCCAGGACCCCGGGATCATGACCTGAGCCGAAGGCAGATACTTAATGACTGAGCCACCCAGGCACCCCTCCTCCTTACTTTAACACTTAAAATGTCGTTTCTAGTCCTGCTACTCTGTGAGACACCTTCCTACGTACCATGACCATTTCATGGGGTATTTTTTACTTGGACATACGGTTACTACTTCCAAACCCTCTTTGTGGGGACTCAGAAATCCCCACTATATTATCTTATCCTCATTCTCCTCTCTTTTATTTTTATTTTCTCCTTTGCTGTGATCAGCATTTAGCATCCTGTGTATTTGTTCAACATCGGTTTGTTTAATGCCTACTATATGGCAGGTGCCGGGCATGCAGCCGTGGGCAGGACAGACACAGTCCCTACTCTCACAGGCTGCTCTCTAGCTAAGTGTCTGTTTTCATTAACTGAAAATTGTATCTCGTCTTGGGTTGCTAAGAGCTTTCCCCCTGCCCTCCCATTATTAAAATAAGCATTAGCTCATAGAAATGCTTTCCTTCAGAAAGGCTATAAAAGCATTTCTTCTTTGTGATTCATTGTTTGTTTTTATCCGTATATTTAGCATCATAAAACCACCTCCCCACTTCAAAGTCAGGAAATAGAGAACATAGGAATCATCTAAGTTACCACTGCAAATCAGACACATGTCCCATAATTTGAATTCATTTTGGAACTTTCCCTTTTCATTTGTGATGTGGCGGTCCTTTTGTTATCAAGATCACTGTGTGTGAGGTAGCCCTTGCCATCCTCAGCATGAACACAGTGTATGTTGGCTTCAGCCATCCTGGATTTTATTCATTAGAAATAGTCATTAAATATGCTGAACATAGCATTATGTTAACACTATTTGCCTCAAGTTGTACTGTGCCTATTTTCGTGTAAGTGAAATTAGTTTCATCTCTGGAGATGTCAAAGAAAGGCACTATGATGGAAGAAATCACTGAACCAGACACTTACACTAATGAGTAAATTGAAACTGATAGAGGAAATAGGTCAACTTTAAGGAGAAACTTCAAGAAAGCCAGTAGTAAAGCTTGAGAATTAAAGATTTTTACAACCTATAGTTTGTTAAAAATATCTTTCAGGCTAAAAATGACTGGACTCTTGGTTGTGACCTTTAAAGATCAGTAATACCCCTGACTAGGATTCCCAGGTTGAACCACCTGAGCATGTTAAAGATGAAAATAGGAATCTAATCAGAACATTTATTACACCCATAAAGCAATTTTCTGAAAATGTTACTCAGTTCTGTGACCTCATTACCAGGCATCTGTTTGCAAGGTCAGTGTACAAGTTTATTTTGGCTGAGCAAAGCATAAACATAGGAAGGACCTTCAAGGATTTTGCTGAGGATGTTCAACATTCCATAGCTTTCACATGAGAAATGCAGGTGGCTTTTTACAGATGAGCAACACAGATAAAGGACAGAGGAAGAAAAGTACTGTTAGTCATATTAACTATCTCTGAATTTTCTCTGGCAGCCTTTTCTTGATGAAAGCAGATACTGTTTAAAAAAAAAAAATCAATTATCACAGAAATTAGAGCCTTACAGGTAAAATTGCTAAAATCCAATAGACTATAAATGACGATGACTAGGTCAAAATCCTGATATCTTGCTGTCTGCTTTAATAGCTTTCTGTTTGTGAAAGGATTTGAGGATATTCAGCTGCTTTGTATCATGCGTTTGTCCAGACAATGGAAAGAAGGG